GGTTGGAGAGGAGGTGTGGGTTAGTGCCTATGCACAGTCCTGGTCACCCTGATGTCTGGGGGCTGGGATGGCCCGGGTCCAGCCTTTGGTGCTGCTGTGGGACCTTCACCTGCACTAGGCCTACAGGCCTCCATCCTGTACCTACCCCGACCCCATCCTGTCCTGAGCTGATCGTCCTCTCGGATCCACAGCTCCTGGCCTCAGTAAAATGGGGCTGTTGCCTCCAGCCCTGGACTCCCCGGCGTGGGGATGAAAGGCTGCTGTGAGTGGAGCTGGAGGTCCATCCACGAAACCCAGGGTGCTGGGCGAGAGGCCTGCAGATGGGTTGGGGAGGGCCACCACCAGCTTGGTCCTACCTTGGTGCATGAAAGTTGGAGGAAGGGAGGGGCCCAGGTCCCTGGAGAGGAGCCCCCAAAATAAGGCCGCTCCACCCTGCAATCCGGTGGCCACTGCTCTGGACCAGGGACCCTGGAAACCCCTGGCACGTGGTCCGAGGGACGGCCAGAGGAGCTGCTGTCAGGGATCATTCCTCATCTGACTGGGGAGTCCTGGGCCTCCTGGCACCCTGAGCCCACGCGGGGCTCTTACCCAGCCCCCGGCAGTGAAGTGTTCAGAGTGGAGCCTAGGGGTCCTCTGGGGGGAAGAGCCACCCTGCCCTGTCCTCTGCCCCTGGCCTCATCTCTGGAGCTGCGGTCACTTAACCCTTTGACCTGCCTCCCCGCGTCTCCTGCCTGAATCTGGAAGAGGCAATGGAGCAGAAAGGGCAGCTCCGGGGCGGCCCCGAGCCAGGCCTCGCTACCCCCGTCCTGGCTAGGCTCCACCATTTGGAAAGTGGGGGTCCTCAGACAGGCTTCTTGGTGTGGACGTATGAGACAAAAAGTGGGGCCTTCTGGGACCCACTATGACTCTGGGGGTTTGGGATGGGGCTTCAGCCACTCTGCATGGGGCTGGGGAGAGGGAGAGCAAGGGCTTCTCCAAGGTCCACGGGGGGCCCACAGAGTCACCTATTTGCCCACGACGCCCTACCAAGTCATCCGTAAGCCTGAGCCCCACGTCCCGCACCCTGGGTTCACACCGCTCATCCTGGCTACAGATTTGGCTTTGGGGTTCCTCTCCCTCGGGGCCAATTCCCCTCCCCAGACCTCACTGCTAGGGAGAAGTTGAGGAGACCCCAGCCCTTGGGACACCCCAGGATGTAGCACTAAGTCCCTCACAGCGGGCCCAGCTGAGCTGAACTTTGCTGCCAACCCCAGGGGCTGCTCTGCGGAGGGAGAGAAAGGCCAGAGGGTGGGGTTCAGGGGAAGGGCAGCTGGGGGTGAAGTGTTGGAGTCAGCAGACTGGATTGGGATCTAGCAGGCATTTGGCTCAGGGGCCTCAGTGGCCTCCTCTGTGCAGAAGGGGAGGAGACCGGGACCCCCTCCCCTGTGACCTCGCCGGGAAGCAGATTGCGGAGCAGCCAGCAGGCGCCGCGGTCAGCGGGAGTGAGGGGCACGGCGGGCCTGCCCTGTCCGCTC